ATCCTGAGGCTACTTTTTTCTGTACGGGAACCTTTGATTTTCCAGTGTTGGCGTTCAGCTACAGCCACAAGTTTTTGAACGAGAGAAAAACAAACTTTCAAATCTCTATCTCGCGCGAAGAAAAGTAGAGGTCCCCCCCGCGTATAGTGTTTCCAGGGCCCCTCGCTCGTAAATCTCATGGGAGCCCCATGGCCGGGCTCTGCCGGGCCATAAGCATTCACTGCAGTTGGGCGACGCTCTCGCAGGACGTCCGGCGAGTGACTAAAAGCTGCCAGCGGGCACTGACTAATGTTCGGACTAGCTGACAAACTGGCTCCATGCCATCCACGCCGCGGGGGCATGAGACCGTCGCGCCACGGCGGCTGCTCATGGCGGAGTCCTCATGGCTGGAGGGGCACGCACACGGTAATCACAGGTAGGGAAGCAGAATGGCCAAAAAATTGTATCCGTACTCGTGTGGCTTTCAAAAAAAAAATCGATTGTAAAAAATCCCACATTTTGCAGCCAGTTGGCGACAGTGACATGTAGCAAATGATACGTGCACTGTAACAGCATTTTTCAAAGTAAAATCCACTTTTGTTGAAACCCCCTGCAGCAACTTGGCGCCTACCACGACAGCCCCTGCAGAACTGGGCCATGGGATTTCCGGGCGGCCCAAGAGACAGATGGCACATAGCAGAGCGCACTTCACAGGACATTTAACGCGCGAACGGCGTCCGAAAACAGTACGAGCTGATGTGTTTCTTGTCCTCGTAAAGTCGCTCGGCCGCCCTGGCTCGTCCGCATGCGTGCCTAGAGTTCTGTGTAGGTCATCCTCAAAAATCAATAAAGCAGAAGACGACAAACGACATAGTTTTTGTGAGGTATCACTTGCAGAGTTGAGGTTGGGGGAGGAGAGGGGGGGGGGGTACTCACTCGCTACTCACATCAGTGCCGTTCATTTCAGGCGGGGCGGGCGGGGTGCTTCCATCACCGAATGGACCGCGGCCAACCCTTCCTTGGCTATTGGCTCAGGGATGGGCGAGGGTCGGCGGTCCGCCTCCTCCACGCACTCCTCGGCCCGGACAGACCGTTCCGAGTCGTTACTCTAATATCGTTAGCATATCCGGCGCCGCCACTCGCGGTGCGCTGACGGCTGCCTCGTGCGGTTGCGCGCGCGCGCACACACACACACACACAGGGGTCAGCGAAGAAGAAGACGCTCGCACGCTAAGTGATTGCCTCCAACAAGACGAACGAGGTCCAGACGATACCTTCCCCCAAAATCCTTCTCCATCCTGCTGCTGCTCATCCTTTCTTACTCCACCTCTACATGTACTACGACTCTGACCGTACCACTACGACTGCTGCCCAAACAGAACCAGCAGGGGGGAGAGGAAAAGTACAAGTAGCTGAAGAATCCGAAACGAATGAAAGCGGCTCGCATGAACGCACTATATACTGCTGTGCCACCTGAGAGAAACTGGATTAGGAAAAGAAAACTGGAGTCGAGATTCACGCAAGGCGGGTGTGCCCCAATAATGACCATAAATACAATAACAGTTTAATAACATAATCCTGTCCTAATCATCCGCGTGCAGGAAGCGCGCGGGCAGCGGCGGCGGCACGCCCCGGTGACGGATGACGGCCTGGACACAGCTGTGAGGCAGAGATAGTGGCTAATTTATGTAGCCGATGGCAGCAGAGCGCCCTCTCGCGTCATTCTATGTACGAGTTACACCCCCCCCTTCCACCCCCACTGCCACCCCGCCACCGCCTCTCGGGGGAAATTCAACATTTTGGTGACACGGCATTGTGGGGGCCCGGGGCCGGGCAGACCGGAAACCCACCTATCTAATCGATAAGGCACCGCGCGACACGCAGAGTGTAGAACCACGCAGGCCGGACCTGCACTGGCAAAAATACAAAAAAACATAAGTCACATCCACCCAAAAAACATCAGTCTGTACATGTTTTGTGAATGCAAGACCTCATCGTAATTATTTTATTTTGAGGGACGAAACTGTGAAGAGGCTCTGCAGCTTGGCTGCTTTTGGGCATGTTGTGGAGCTTTTACAAGTCTTTTAATTACGCACGTCCGACTTTTTATTACTTTTAAATAAATAAATGAAAAATTCGTGACTCACGCAAACGCTCGCTCTTGTGGAGCGCCTGGATCTGGTTGACCCCAGCCGGCACAGAGAGCTCGGCGGGGCAGCTCGGACTTCGGGAACGTCTGAGACCATGATTTATACGCGCCTGCCGCCCCCCACCCCTGCCCTGCCGGCCCTGCCCCGGCCGCGAGGCGCTCCAAGATGGCGGCCGCCGGCCCGGTCCATAATATGAAAAGGATATAAATCTCCAAGGTGTCTCGGCCGAGAGGGTGTCAGCTTGTCTTACCCTACTCGGGCTAAAAGCCGCGAGCGAGCTACATACATGCAAACACCCGTGCGTTTAAAATTGATTCCAAAGTCGTTAAAAAAAGTGATGCGTGTTCAAATGTTACTCTGAACCGCTGTTCTTACAATGTTACTCCGAGTCTGACTGCATTCGCTGTCTTTAAATGTAGAGATTCGAAGAGAAATTTGAAACTGTGCGTCCTCAATCAGAGATTCAATTCTTCAGAGACCCAATTTTGGGGGGTCAATTTCGTTTCTAAAAATGACAAGAAAATCAAAAGCAAGGGAAAATAGGCTCCAAAAAATCGTACACCCGAAGTCGAAGTTCATGAACTCCGGCCGAAGTTCAGCCGAAGTTCACTGAAGTTCAGCCGAAGGTCACTGAAGTTTGCTTTGTAAAATTCGATCGAAGTTCACTGAAATTAACCGAAGTTCACCGAAATCCATCGAAGTTCACGGAGTTCACCGAAGTTCAAAAACAAACGTCAAAGTTCATCGAAGTTCAAAATAAAATGCCAAAGTTCCCGAAGTTCAAAATAAATGTCGAAGTTCCCCGAAGTTCAAAATAAATCGTAAAAGTTCACTGAAGTTCAAAATATTTGAGTACATATTTAAGGCTGAAATTGGCGATTTTGAGTGCTTACTACAACCGAGTCTTAGCTTACTCAAAGCAGATATTTACGGATCGAATTACAAAGGTTACAGAGCGCTTTTATAGCTCTTGATCAGTTCGAAGTTCGATAAAATTGGTAGAAGTTTGGCGAAGTTCACCGAAGTTCCCGAAGTTCACTAGAGTTCACCGAAGTTCACCGAAGTTCAAGAAAACGTACACCGAAGTTCAAGCCTATTTCCCCTTGATCAAAAGTTGATAAAAGTACAAATTTGACCACATACAGTGATAACTTAACCTTTGACGCGGCCCGCAATATTTAACCGAGTGCACAGGTTGCCTTGCGGTTACGTGGCACAGGTGCATCATAGGTGGGCTCGCATTTCGGGGAAGTCCGTGTCAGCTGTGTCAGTCAGCTGGTCCTGAGGGTCCACCGTGCCTGGCCGCCGAGTCCTGCGGGTCCTCCAAAGATTTATCAAAGTTTCCGTTCCACTCGGAGGAGCATGCGCCGTGATTTATGGCCAGGGATTGCATCCGATGGCTGCGTGCGAAGCGTGCGCGCCGGGCAGGTGCTGGTCTGCGTCGCTCTCACTCGCCCCGGCCTGGAGAGCCTGCGGGTGCGAGCGAGTGGGAGGCCCCGGCCAGCACTTTTTCGGGCGCCAAGAAATGCGGTCCAGGATATGGGATGAGAAGGCCGGCTTTGGGAGAGAGAGATAGAAAGAAGAGGGGGAGGTTGATCTGCATTGGGTCAAAACAAAACATAACGCGAAGATATGATCGCAAGGATGATTCACGGTGTTATCGAGACACCATCTTTTTCAAAATAATACTAAACTTCTGAAAAATCCCATACTGGAGACTTTGCCACCGGGCTGCAGCAGGTCTCAGGCATGGCCTCTTCGCTTCCATAGCAAGAAAAAGGGCCCCCATGATGCCGGTCTCTCAAGGTATTTTGCATTTCCCTGATTTTTTCTTTTTCTTTTTTTTTCGAAGGGGCTAAGGGAGTGATTGGAGGCATGCGATAAGGGCAATCATACACGCCAAGAAAGAAAGTGGAATATTTCGGAGATTATCTTGACCAGTTATTACCGCTGTCGGCATAGCTCGGGCCAGTCTACGCGGTAGTCGATAGTTTTCCTACTTTTCCAGCCAATGAACGCGAGACAGCGCCCACCGGAATTAGACCTCAGTAGCACGGCGACCACCTCGGCAAAATCGCAAATTCCAATTTAGTCTCTAAAGGAGTCCCCCACGCGCGAGCAAAGCAGTTTAGTGGGGTTCCTGAGACAATTTGTCACGCACCGTATATCTCCGGGGCGCCACGCAGCAGTAGCCCACCCCAGCTGCATGGTACGCACCGCCACTGTATCCACTATGAAACTCATGTCGGGAATTTACAGTCTTAGTCCTCCTAGGAAAGGGTTGAGCCCGAGTCGTGTGTCTTAGGAGTCTGATTCTGTTTTAATTAATACCGCGGGTCCCCCTTTGCATCCTCTCTGGTTTATTGCGGCGCCCAAGCACTCCCTCCCCTCAACCCTCCTGCGCCAAATTAACATTACTGGTACCTCCGACGGCCGGGCTGGGCCGCCCACAGAGGGGCCTATCGCGAGCTAAAAGTGGCATTTCGAAGGACTCTGCGCCACTTGAACCCAGTTTAATCCACCTTCTGTGACAGAATCTCAATTCCTCTCGACGTTCGCAAAAACACTCTCACTGGAAAAAGAAACACACACAGAACGACTAGAACTATTTTGAGTAACGCCACGTGTTGCAAAGTGTCGCGGCGCCATTACGGGGCTTTGCAGCCCCATCTGGTGAGGAGGCACCGCGCGCCACCCCGCAGACCAACCCCTCTCTCGCATTTCTTGCGGCGGAGAATCCCTCTCAGATAAAACATCGCCGTGCGCGGGCCGGCCGCGCCGCCGCCAGCCCCGCGGCCCACCCTCCCCACCAATGATCGGACTTTAGATCGAAATTTAATGAGTTCTCTTCTTTCCCTTTATATTTTCCAGAACGACGCTGGCATCCAACGAGCGCGGCGCATCGCGACCTGCTTGACGCGAAGAGGAAGAACAACATCGCACGCCCTGAGGAGGTTTAGACGAGACAAAGATATTTGGAAAATATTCAGTTTAGCCTTGGAATTGTAGGGTAAGTAAAAGAAAGGACTGAAAAAACGGACTACAACAGGTTATGAACTGCAGCAGTAATGTTCCACAAAAAGTCGAGCTTAAGGTATCGCCTAGACATATACTTCAGAGGACGATCCATTTTGCCTAATTAAGAACTACGTAAATTGCATTTAGGTTCTGCTCCACCGTACCTTCTTCGCCCCAGGCAAAGAATGCCTCTCCCCTCCCTACATCTTCTCGCTTTCTCTGCCATCCCTCTCCCTTCTTCTCTCTTACTATTCTTCTATTCTAGTCATTCGTGCAGTTCCCCGTTTTTCGCGAGAAAAGTTCCCTGCTCCCCTTCTTCTTCTATCCCACTCTCCCTACCCCATCCGTCTTCCCGAAAAAGTCCATAAGGTTTTTTTTCCTCCTCTGCACCCCTCCGGCTCCGCAACGCCACGCCACCGCCGTAGATCCCCCTTCCACTCCCTTTCTCTCTCTCCGCGCTTTTCTCAAATGGACTTACAACGAGCCCAACCCTTTATTATTCCAAAGTGTAATACAATCATTAGGGGTGGGAAAGAAAACACATTGCAGCAGGAGCAGCGCCTTAAATTAACGCGAAATTTCGGTTACGTTAGGAAATTATATTCCCGGGGGGTTAAATTAGTGCCGGCGGAGAGAGGCTGGAGGGGCTGAAGGGGGCGAAGGTAAGCAGATCCTCCGCCTTCCTTAGCCGTACAGATTCGCCCCAGTAAAACGCTCGTACATAATGGCCATACTTCAGGGCGCCACCGCCGCCCCGTTTCGGTAGCAGGTGTGTGTGTCTTATCTGCACCCCACCCCCACCCCCGTCC